TCTGTCAAGTAAGTAGATAAAAACTTTTAAATTTTTTTTCTCTATTTTTTTCTCTTATGGTTTTATGATTTTACATTTTAGTCCATGATCCATTCTAAGTTCATTTTTGTATAAGGTTTTTCTTTCATCTTCCATTTTATTCCTTTGGAGAGGACATATACTCTACAGTTTCAGTGGTCCCCAACTGTCCCTTGTTAGCTTGTTATAGCTGCTATGTCCATAGCCAAAGTGCAATGAAGTCAATATGTATTTAGAAAATAAGGAAAAGTTCAGTCAGATAGTTTTCTTCAGTAATTGGTAAAGGTGAGTATGCCCACAAAGATGTTCTAAAGACACTAGAAGTGACGGCAGGGATCATTAATCTTGTGGTATGCATCTAGCTTCTAAGGTTCTACTGAATTAAGTACTTTTACAACTGTATTCTGCTATAATTAGCAATCACACTTAAAAACTTTCAAATCCTCCATCTTGGTTAGCCTTACTCACCCTTAAAAAGGTAGTTACTGACTTCAATCAAGGATAGGATTTGATTAATAGAAAAACTTTGCTGATTCTGGACTTTAGGAAATTAATTCACATTATTGTACAAGTCCTTACTTTTTTGGCTCTTTATACTTTTTTTTTTAAGATTTTATTTTATTTTGATAGAGATCAGTAGGCAGAGAGAGTGAGGAGGAGGAGGCAGGCTCCCTGCTGAGCAGAGAGCCCGATGCGGGACTCGATCCCAGGACCCTGAGATCATGACCTGAGCCGAAGGCAGAGGCTTTAACCACTGAGCCACCCAGGCGCCCCTCTTTATACTTTTTTTTACCCGAGAATGTTCTTTCTCATGATCCAACTTCCCAATCTCTGTACAAAGGTATCTTTCCTTCATGCATCTCTTTCTCTTCCTACCTTACCTCCATAATTTCTATTCACTTCTCATATTTCATAGCATGGTGAATATACCTCTCACTTGATACATACTGGACCTTACACTGAAGGCTGTACAACCAGTTTTTCTCCTCACATTATAAATTCCTTCCGGGTAGGAACTTTTGTATTTCTCAAAGTGTTTGGTATAAGAGAATAAACTGGGTTCCATGTGGGTCATATGAGTATTTCACATTAAGTAACTGGGTTAGGACTTGATTAACTTTACTAACGGCTAACTTGCAGAAATATGCAACAAGAGTGGGAGATAAGGGAACTCAGCTCTCAGGAGGTCAGAAACAGAGGATTGCGATTGCTCGAGCCCTCATCAGACAACCTCAAATCCTGCTGTTGGATGAAGCTACATCCGCCCTGGATACTGAAAGTGAAAAGGTGAGGCCTCTCTGCTCACATTCCATTTAATTTGTATAATAGGAGTTTCTCGGTACTCTCAAGCCTGAAAAAAGTAAATAGAAATTTACGGTTATATTTTGAAGTAAAAAATTTTCTTACTCCTCCCAGTATTTTCCAAAATTTGTAAAATGATTATTTCATAAGCCAAAAAAACGAAAGAAAACTGCATACTTCACATTTTTAGCACATTAATCATGAAAAGCTAGAAAATAAAAGGGAACTAGTAAGATACATCTGTGGACAGAAAATTTAGATACTTGTGATTTAGTGTGAGAGTTCATTTTTATAACTAAAAAGGAACTAACTGGACTATAATGCCATTCATGTAAAAGTACACATGCATAATAAAAGGTAACATTTTGCTCTGATGGTAAAGTTTTAAGGCTTTTTTTTTGATTCATCATTAGATTGTCCAAGAAGCCCTGGACAAAGCCAGAGAAGGCCGCACCTGCATCGTAATCGCGCACCGCCTGTCCACCATCCAGAACGCAGACTTAATAGTGGTGTTTCAGAACGGCAAGGTCAAGGAGCACGGCACGCATCAACAGCTGCTGGCTCAGAAAGGCATCTACTTTTCCATGGTCAGTGTCCAGAATGGGAAACAGAACTTATGAACTCTTGTTATATCTTAAAAATAATCTTTTACAAATCATAAAATACAGGTGTATCTTATTCCATATCAATTTAGAACATCCCATGTGATGTTGATACAATAGCATCTGAAATTTAAGAGTAAAAAGTGAACCTACCTTGTAAGGTATAAAGACAGCAGCCTAGATCTTGAGTTACCAGAAACATACAGAGAAAGCAAAGTTCAGATATATAAGCTTGTAGCTTTCACAGAAATCAAGACATAAGGAAACTTCTTAGGGTCCTGAACAGTTGGGTATATGATAGGATGGTTGGGGAACAGTTTTCACAGGAAGAAAGTTAAAATATATTATTCCATTGCCTACTCCCTCCCTTGCTGACTTTCTAAATTATTCTTTTGGGAATGGAGGTTTGTTTTTTTTAAATAACTAATCCCAGCTTTATCACCAAAGTCCAAGAGGAAACGAGATTGTCTTTAGACAAGCTAACTACAGGCACACATCTGTTCATAAAGCAAAAAGAACGAAAACAAAAACCAAAAAGACCACATACCACTGAATAGCTCTGAAAATTTTAACTCAATACAAATTTATCTCAAGTGCAATTTGAAACATTAGAAATAACAATGAAATGCTGAAGTTCTATAGCATCTCCATTACTTTTTACAATAATAATTTGCCCAGAATATGTTTAGATAGAGACACACACACACACACACAAATTCTAGGTTACCTTTAGAAGCTAACCACACCATTACGTTTTTCCTCAATTTTCCATTTGTTTCCTTTATAAATAACTGAAGCAACATCAGTGTTCACCACTATCACAGGTTCTTTAGGTTAGTAAGCTACCCAAATAAGTTCCTTTATCTGTAACAAATCAGACCTTACCAAAGATGTTTTCATTCTTTTTTTTTTTAAAGATTTTATTTATTTATTTGACAGAGAGAGATCACAAGTAGACAGAGAGGCAGGCAGAGAGAGAGAGAGAGGGAAGCAGGCTCCCTGCTGAGCAGAGAGTCCGATGCGGAACTCGATCCCAGGACCCTGAGATCATGACCTGAGCCGAAGGCAGTGGCTTAACCCACTGAGCCACCCAGGCGCCCACCAAAGATGTTTTCAATGAAACCATGTGTATAATGCACTAAATTTCAGATTAACCAAGAGAATGGGACAAGGGGTACATTACCTCAGTGACTCAAAACCTCTGGAAGTTCTTACTCTACAGGTCTGGGTAGAGGCTCAGAAATCTTTGTAAAAAGCATTCCAGATGATTTTCAACTTCTGGCAGATGAGGGAAGCATGTTAAAATATCACTGCGGGGGGCACCTGGGTGGCTCAGTGGGTTGGAGCCTCTGCCTTCGGCTCAGATCATGTTCCCACAGTCCTGGGATCAAGCCCCGCATTGGGCTCTCTGCTCAGCAGGGAGCCTGCTTCCTCCTCTCTCTCTGCCTGCTTGTGATCTCTGTCTGTCAAATGAACAAATAAAATCTTAAAAAAAAAAAAAAATCACTGCGGGATTTCTCTGCAGGAAGTGAACACTTTCTAGTCTTTAGACATTTAAAAACAAACAACTGGATGATTCTAAAAGCCAATCACAGTGTAGTCTATAAAACTGTACTAGTGAGGAAAAAGGTCCACAGTATAGAACGGGAAGAAGATATCTGTTCAGGATATATCAAATGCCACAGACGCTAAGTCAGTGTTTTCACAAAGTAATAAACGTCTTACCAAATTCACAAGATAGGAAAATTTAAAGGAGGTATAATGTAGAACATTGCTACAAAAACAGGCCTCAGCACGTGCACCCGAATGTTTATAGCAGCAATGTCCACAATAGCCAAACTATGGAAAGAACCTAGATGTCCATCAACAGATGAATGGATAAAGAAGATGTGGTATATATATATACACAATGGAATACTATGCAGCCATCAAAAGAAATGAAATCTTGCCATTTGCAATGACGTGGACAGAACTAGAGGGTATTATGCTGAACGAAATAAGTCAATTGGAGAAAGACAACTATCATATGATCTCCCTGATATGAGGAAGTGGAGATGCAATGTAGGGGGTTTGGGGGTAGGAAAAGAATAAATGAAACAAGATGGGATTGGGAGGGAGACAAACCATAAGAGACTCTTAATCTCAAAACCAACGAGGGTGGCTGGGGGGAGGGGGGTAGGGAGAGGGGGGTGGGGTTATGGACATTGGGGAGGGTATGTGCTATGGTGAGTGCTGTGAAGTGTGTAAACCTGGTGATCCACAGACCTGTACTCCTGGAGCTAATAATACATTATATGTTTATAAAAAATTTTAAAGAACAGCCCTCAGTAAATGCGCCTACTTATCTACATTTACAAAATGACTTTGCAGTTTCTCATAACAAGAAATGACACTTTGCCACCACTCCTTGAATCTAGACTGCCGTTGCAACTTTTCACCAATAAAATGCAAAGTAAGTAATATCCTGGGACTTCAGGGGATAGGCCTCACAAGGCCTTGCAGATGCTCCCTTTCTCTTTTGGAACACTCCTGCCGCCAAGTACCTAAGTCAAGGCTAGAATACTGAATCATCAGAGAGCACGTCGACAGAGTCCCAGGTGCCAAGTCCCCAGGCAGCGGGGGGAGGCATCTCCAACTTTACAGCCTCAGCCCAGCAAGCTCAGGAGTGCAGCTGCATAAATAAACTACAGCAAAACCAGAAGAACGACCCATCTGGGCACAATCAACTGATACAACCATGAGAAATAATAAATTGATTTAAGACAGTAAGTTTCGGGTAGTTTTTTTTTTACACAGTAATACATAACTTAGATCAGAAAGTATAAGGTCAAACAGGAGTAGATTTTTTTTTTTTTTAATTTATTTGACAGAGAGAGAGCACAAGTAGGCAGAGAGGCAGGCAGAAAGAGAGGGGGAAGCAGGCTCCCCGCTGAGCAGAGAGCTCGATGTGGGGCTCGATCCCAGGACCCTGAGATCATGACCTGAGCCACAGGCAGAGGCTTAACCCACTGAGCCATGCAGGCGCCCCAGGAGTAGATTCTGTATCCAAACACCAAACAAGTTACATGATTGAGAACTTTATTTTCTATTTTGAAAAGCAGGGGAAAAACTTATAAAATCCTGAGAATTTGATTCAGTAATCTTCAAGTCACTAACTCTAATTTTAAAAATAAGTGCTTTAATTTTATATTCAAAAACCTAAATACAATATACTATAATGAATTTTGTTAGGGCTTTTCTGTGTGTGCTTCGGAGTATAAACCTTCCTCTAATTCTTCTGTCCAACACTAAGTCTACTTTTAGATGATCATTAAATTGTAGTGGTCTTTCCCATCAAACATAATAGGCTTGTATCCCTGTGGTGAATGTGGAAGGCAATGATTTCAGGGACGTTAACATCTAATCATGTATTCCATACCCTCTGGCAACTAGGAAATGTTAAAGTGCTTGGCAGACCCTATAATGATGTTCAGAGACAGGATTTATAACCTATATAGGTAACCAACAAAAATCCTTCTAAGACTTGCATTATTAAAATTTGTAGATTTGCATTGTTGAGACTTATCTTCAACTTTTGCATAGTTCTATATTTCATTATATCAATTTGCATTGCTACTGTATCAGAAGAAGCTTAAAAATCATTTTCTTCCTATGTTAGAAAAAATTTAGAGAGCATGATTCTACTAATTTCTACATTTAACAAGTTTCCTTTAATATTCCTTCCTATCACATCACCAACCCATTCTCCACACCCCCCTTAATATTTTTGTAAATGCTAAATAAATGTTTAGTCTCTAAAGATGAGCAGTGTTCATCAGCCGCATCATATCATGGAAAGCCTGAAAAACCAGCAGAACTAGCTTTTCTGCATCAGTCTCTGGACATGATTTCCAGGCTGAACAAGCCACAACAAACCTGTGAAGCACAAAGAAAAAATTAGTGAGGACTACACAAAAATCACAACACAAACAGGTTCCAAATGCTGATGACAAATATAGCCATGAGCTTTACTCCATCTAGTTATTCACATATCAAGTGTGAATTCTTACTGACATTAGGTAAATGTTACTGGACACAACTGAAGGGTAAAGCCATATGTATACATAATGCTAGGAATACCTCATCTACTGTGTGACTGGTGAGTAAGGACAAAAGAAAACAAAAAATTGGCCAGAGATCAAAGCGTGCTCTGGAGTAAGGTATTAGTGTGTTCAAACAACCCACCACCTCTTCCAAAAACAACAACAAAAAACCTTCCTAACATTTCTTAATGTAATGAGCTTGAGGGTGAATTCACACCACTGTCTGCAATGAGACTATTTTTTAAGAATATAGTGCTTGAAGACAGTTCAAGAAAGAAAAAATTAGAGAAAGGGTAAGAGGAGAGGAAAGATGTTTCTAGAAAAGCCAGACAGAAACTCTCTTGGGATAAGTCATCTCCCTCTATATTCTCCTGATTTAAAATAATAATAATAATAATAATAATCCCCTATGAGGCAGTTCAAAGTCTCTTGAAACTAGCCTTCCCCTTTCCAGACACTCAGATTTTTATAGCAAAATGCATTAAGCATAAATTAAAATCAAAATGCTGTTGTACAACGTAAAGCTTGTGGACAATCATGCAATGTTCACATCATTAAAAAAGACAATAAATTAAAACTTCAGCATGTGCTTTTGTTTAAGCAGAATGAAATAAAAACATGCTCTGGCCCAGTGTATAATGATGAAACCAATGTTTGACTGGATTATATTTGCTGAAATGTATACAGGAACCCAAAGAAAGTTCTGCTTTGTTTTCATCTAGTGATTCATGATTACCCATCATTTCCAACTACACTGTGCATACAATTCTCAAATATTTAGCAACATCTAAATATATTTCTTTGCAATGATTAACAACTGGTATTTAAGTATTGAAATTTCTTAAAATTCACTTATATTTCTAAATCATGGAAAGCTTTCCTATAAGCAGTTTACAAAAGAATGTACACAGATGTCAATTAAGAGAAAATTCGCTTTGTAAGCATTCAAATTGTTATTTTTGCCTATAGACCTAGTCAACAATGATTTATAATGCCTAGAGTTTGCAATGATGTGATGAAATGAGTATATACTATTATACATTATTTGTAATGATGAAAAACTGAAAATAGGGAGACAGTTACATAAATTATGGAAATCTGTGAAACATTATGCAACCACTAAAACATCTCAAATTATGAGGCGCCTGCGTGGCTCAGTTGTTAAGCCTCTGCCTTTGGCTGAGGTCATGATTCCACAGTCCTGGGATCGAGACCCTCATTGGGCTCTCTCCTCAGCAGGAAGTCTGCTTCTCCGTCTCCCACTCCCCCTGCTTGTATTCCCTCTTTCATTGTCTTTCTGTCAAATAAACAAAATCTTAAAAAAAAAAAAAAAACCTCAAAGCATATTTAACGGCAGTGGAAATTGCTTGAAATAATGTTAAGCGGAAGTGAATTTCCCAAAAAGGACACTAAAATATTTAAAATGTGATCCAAAATTACAGAAATTATATACTATATGCATTGTAGATTAGAAACATTCTAACAGTTTTTGTCTTTTAATTGTAGATGACTCTGTTCTTTTTCATTTTTTTACTGATTTTTATAAGCATGCAGTACATTTAAAATAAAATGCTATTTCAAAAATAAACCAATTTTCTGTAAAGACATACAATTCTCAAGTTAAACAATGAATGAAAAAGCTTTCCAGATAGTTTCCATGTATTTCATTTGGAAACTATTTTTTATGTATTCATTGTAATGACTTATAAATGTGTAACTCTAGCCCTGATCTCTTTTGTAAGCTTCACAGTCATGTAACCATATGCCTACTGACACATCCTCTCATATATGAAGATAATACCTTCCTTATGAGATGAAACAAAATCAACATGTATAAAACAAAATTCTACCCTAACATGCCCCAACCACAGTCCTCCCCTAATTTTCTCCATTCCAGTAAATGCTACCATCGAAATCACCAATTCATCAGTTAAGTCACCTCCAAAGTTGCTCTCAAATCCCTCCACTTCTCTCCACCTTCATTACCTCCTGCCTTGTCCAACTTATCGTTTATGCTAAGTTCTCTCATCTCATTCTTGCTCCTGTTACTTTCCACCTTATTTATATTTCATGTAAGAGCCAAAAGTCCCTTATACATGGCAAGTCCCTTATACATGTGTACATTTCATGCTTAAAAGCTGGTAAAATGCTCCCATTATCCTTAGGAGAAAATCTCCACTCCTTACCATCTCACAAGGCCCTATTATCAACTGACCACCCCAAACAAATCAGTGTTTCCAAAAGAAATATTTTTAGAGCTTTCTAGGTGATTCTAATGTGCACTCAGAGTTGAAAATACTGTCCTCCAAGATGCAGTTCATACCTACCTCTCTCCAACTTCTCCTACCAACCCCCACCGCTGCAACTTAATTGCTAATTTATAGCCATAATGCCTCTTTCTGTTCCTTATAAATGTCAGGCCACATCCTAACTGAGGACCATATAATTATGTTCAGCAACAAAATCATTGTGAAAACATGTATTATTACAAGGCATGGTTACAAAGGTGGGAATACAGCAATAAACAAATCAAAAACCCTATTCTTACGGGTTTATATTCTAGGAAAGGAAGAAAGATTGCTATACCAACAAATATGTATACCCACTGGATGGTCGTGTTACAAAGAAAATGTAGCAGGTGAGGGAGGCGGGGAGTGCTATTACAGATCATCAGAGGAGGCCTCCCAGATGGTAGCAAACTTTAAGCAAATACCTGCATGAAGTAAAGGAGTGATCCTTACATATATTTCAAGGAACAGTAGGGGACAGAGAAAATCGTAACGGCAAATGCCATGAGGAGGGAGCCTGCTTGCTATAGTCAAGGTACAAGAAAACAAAAGTGTCTGGAGCGGAGTGAAACAGGAGGAGCACTGTAGAACGTAAGGTCAGAGTGGTGAATGACAGCCTGATCATGCAGGATCTTGTAGGAGGCCTTTGGATTTTACTGAGTGAAATAAGAAACTCTTGGAGGATTTTGAGCAGACGGGCATTTTTAAAAGGGCATCAAAGGGTTTTGTGTAGACAGTGTTCTGAAGGGAAGGAAAGGCTGAAGCAGAAGACCGCAGGAGAACCTGTTGCAACAACCTACGTGGGAGAAGGCAGTGGCTCAGCCTGGCGGTGGCACTGGAGACAGCTGGCAGCGATCAAAGTCTGGAGAGCTGTATTCCTGGTTATTCATGTGGTTAATTCCCTCTCCTCCTCAACATCTCTGCTCTGCTGGCCCTCTCTGACCACACTAAATGAAGCAATGCTCCACTCCCGCCCACAGATTGTCTCTATCACCTTATCAACTTGCTTATTCCCTTCGCAGCATTCTTCACTAGTTACCTTGCTTGTTTGCTTTTGTCTCTTTTCCCGAGTAAAAAAACAAAATCTTTAAGAGGGAAATCTTGTCTGTCTTGTGTCCTCAGTATGTAAAAAACAAGTTCTCACTACATACTGCGTGAATGAGTGAATGTAAGTTCTGCCCAGGATCAGGACTTTTTCTTAAGTCAAACAGCTGAGGTGTGTCTGGCTGGAACTCCTGTCGGTGTGCGCAATACAGTATCCAGATGTGTCAGGAAATATGATAGAATGCTTACTTATTCTCTGTGCCTGATGATGATTTTACACCTTTGACCCTTTATTACGAAAAAAAGAGATCTATGTTTAACCTCTGTAATTTACCCTTTAATTTGTACATTAATGTACATAAACTGAATATTATGGGAATGGATAATTTAGGATGTAGATGTAACAAATACAGGTAACACTGGTATAACATGCTATGCACAGGTGACATTTGACATGGAGACCGATAATAAAATTTTGAACAGTAACACTGACTGTAAGCTCTTTCAAAAATTTAAAGTATAAAAACATTACCCATTGAAATATGTCTACATATGATCATTCTAATTTTTTACATTCCAACTGAAGCCTCTGCACCTATCATCTATTCACCGTGCTAGATGTAGCCACTTTATTTTTTATAAAGGCCCCCAAGCTACCAAAGACCTCTGAGAGGAGACGGCCAGACTATGTGAATGAGGACCTCCCAAGCCTTTCTGCCAATTTCATATTACCTTGTTCTCCACCTACCAGGTTATAACATTTTCTTTCTCACTCTCTCCATAAACCTCATACAACACAAATGAAATGTATAGGAATTGGTAAAACATTTTTTTTTTTAAATATAAATTAATTTACCAATCTTTATCTTGGTCACATCAGTACTATCTATGACTATATGAACCACCACACATTTATAGGCAATCAAATTTTAACTGAACTTAGCATAAAACACGTTGGGTGGAACAAATATGCTAATATGTGTACTGGGTTTTGAGAATGATGATGGTATGTCACTGAGTCAAGCTTAAATGGTGTTCTGCACAAAACACATAAAGGACTGATTTGCCAAGTGTCCCAAAAACTGGACAGAGAAACAAACACACATTAAACGCCTAACAGCCTTACCTGTCATCTCTGATATGGTAGAAAAATCCATAGCCATTGTGGACCATGGGAACTGCCACTCCCTGGATTTTAAAATAACCAACCAGACTTGTTGAGAGAACAAAGTTTCCACCTCCTCCACTGTGTGGCATAAAGAGAGGTTATTTTACTAGGCTTACAGAAACTTACATTACTTCTGAAGAGCTTTTAACCTTCAGAAAAAAGGTTCTGATGGATCAAGTTATAAAACACTGTATCACATTACCTTTTGGAGAAAAGAGGGTCTGTAAAGAGTTCTGGAACAGGAAGACCTTCCTCTTTTGCTGTGAGTAAAAGCCCTAAAAGATGACGGTCAAATCCTGCAATGAAACCAGAAGTATGAAGATAGAAAAAAAATGTTTCAACATGAGAGAATTTTTTAAAGTCAGAATAATTCCAATATAAGTACCTTTTCCAGCTGAAAAATCTTTCATCATTTTATTATGTTTTGCAAAAGCTTGTAACATCTTCTGCTGCCTCTCAAGAAGCTGTGTTAAAAATCAAGACAATACTTCAGTAAACTATACAGAAACCAAATTTTAAAAACCCTGAATTCAACATGATTGAACATAATTTGAGAAATCTGAAGGAGAAAAGATTTCTATGAAGAAGCTGAGACACAGGTTTCTATATATTTTCCTTAACTTCTTCTACTGTCTTTTCTTTCCTATATCATCCTTCATCTTGATTATTTCTTTCTAAGGAAGGAAAATAGAAACTTGTGGGCAACACTGAAGTGATATTCGTAAGTGTAAAGACAGAAGCAACTATGATTTCAAAACACAGAGCTGTTCAAAATAATAATGAAATAGTTCTATGCTATTAAAATAAATGAACATATATATAACCTTGTCTATCAAAATTAAATAACAAATACAATACCAAAACAGCAGTGGAAGGGAACCACCCTATTGTCTAAATGGCTTAAAAAAAAAAAATTACAGGGGCACCTGGCTGGCTTAGTTGGTAAGGGATGTGACTCTTAATCCAGGGTTGTGTGTTCAAGCCCCACACTAGGTAGAGAGACTGCCTTGAAAAAAAGAAGAAGTATAAAGCAAAACATAACTGTTCTGGTTCTAATACATGAAAACAAGAATCTGTGATTTCAAAACCTTTCAACCATATCAAGGAAAAGCGTCTTTTTAAGGCACTTTAGGATAGTCTGTACTTCACTGGTGTTATCCTAAAGGTAGATCAGTAATAGTAAAATATTCATGGTATCAAAGATACTTTGCCCAGAAAGTAACACAACTGAGCTTCTTCTCAGGTCTTTCCTGTTTCATATTCTTTCCAAGTATATACAGTGAATGAATGCTTTAAACACCTAAGGGACAAATATCTGAAACTATTTTACTGATCCAGGGGAACTGAAGCAAAGAAGTTGGTTATTCAAGGACTAAGGTTCCTGTAAACAAGTAAATAATAACTTTTCAATACTCACACCAGTAGAAGGATCCTGCATGGACTGACACCACCGGAGCGCTTCTATAGTACACGAGCGCATAGTCTCTGTACGGCCATGATAAAAGCACCTTGTCATAGCTGTCTCATAGCAGCTGCCAGGGCTACAAGAAAAAATGAAAATAAAAGAAAGTGTCATAACAAAGAAAATACTCAAATATTATTACCAAAAAAACCTTACCTAATAAAGCTGGCTTTGGTCAGAGACTAAGTTCTACACTACAGGCTACTGTTGTGACTTTCAGTAACCAAGAGACTACTTTCAATAATCAACGAGTAAAAAAATATTCTGATCTACAGGGTCTGGGACACCATGGCTTCCCTCCTTCCAAGGCTTGGCTGTGGTCAGGTTCTATATCGCAGTGCATCTGTGATAGGTAGCCTCTAAGAAGAACCCCCAGTGATCCCTGCCTCCTGGTAGTAATACTCTGTGTAACTCCTCAGTTTGAGTGTGAGATGGACTCGTAATTTGCTCCTAATGAAAAGAGCAGGATAAAAGTGATGGGATGTCACTTTTGAAATTAGGTTACAAAGAGAGATCTGAATCACTCTCACTTCCTTAGTATGAGGAAAGCAGGCTGCCTCACTGGAAGGTGCCCTACAGAAAGGCCCAGAGGATGAGAAACTGAGGGTTGCCTCTGGAAAATAGCCTGGAAGGAAGTGATCTCTGCTGATAATCACAAGTGAGCTTGGAAGCAGATCCCCTCTGAGGAACACCTTCAAATGAGAAGAGAGCTGAATGACACTCTAACTATGACTTCAGGAAACTTGAAGGTAGACGCACCCAGGAAGCCTGCACCTGGGTTCTTGTGTGACAGAAAATATGAAATAACATTTACTGTCTTATGCCCAATGAGTTTGTGATAACTGTTACACAGCGATAGATAATACCGAGTCCCTGGCCTTTAGTTCCTTCATACACTACATGAATCACTACAGGATGAAGTAAAAGCATTCTCTAAGAAGTTCCCCAGAGTGATGACTGTTTTCCTGAGTTGAAGAATGATGTAAACAATTTTAGATATAGAGCTCTCTTACTTATGTAACATTATTATTTCTGGTGGTTGGAATCCAGAGTTAAAGAGATCAAATGGAGTGAGAGGAAAAGATGTGAACATGGGCATTAAGAAGGCTCAAACAGAATTACTAAGCCTCTTCTGCCCAGTGTATCTATAAAGCTATCTCCCTGAGCTGAAATAGTATCCTTTTCAAGTATGAAGAGGAGAAAGCATAAATGAAAACTTAACACTAACATTCTTTAAAAAAAAAAAAAAAAAAGATTAAAAATAAAAGCAGTAAGTAAAAATATCACTGCACTGTAACCTCTAACAAAATAATACATCTTGGTTATGATCATCAATGCCTACTAAAACCATTAGGTAAAAAACTCAGGGAGGAAACTTTATAATGGACATTGGTTTACAAATACACTCAGTCTCAACAGGATGAAACAGAAAACAAATGATGTTAATTACTTGATGTACTGTCATAAAAAATAATAAAAATAACTGATTCTTAGTCTCAAATCTCTAGATCTAACTCCGAGTTTATGGAGAACATGGGAGACAGAGCAACATGTTTAATAGTTATTTTTCTTTCATTTAAAAGGCAAATGCATAAAACAATAATATAAACCTGTATCAATGGGCACATAATGTATAAAGATGTAATCGTTAACAAAATAGAGTACAGAGATGTACAGAAGCAGAGTTTTGTGTACTACTAAAACTAAGCTATTATTCAATGAGGTTGTTACAAATATAAAATATGAATTGTATTCTCCAAGTAATCATGAATAAAATAGATAAAAAATGAGGTGAACCATGAGAGACTATGGACTCTGAAAAACAATCTGAGGGTTTTGAAGGGGTGGGGGGTGGGAGGTTGAGGGAACCAGGTGGTGGGTATTGGAGAGGGCACGGATTGCATGGAGCACTGGGTGTGGTGCAAAAACAATGAATACTGTTACACTGAAAAGAAATTAAAAAAATATATAAATATATATATATATAAAACAAGCTAAAATTTAAAAAAAAAAAAAGAAAAAGAAAAAGAAAAAGAAGGGAACCAAAATGGTACACTTAAAAAAAAAAAAAAAAAACCCAAACAAATAAAAAAGAGGTAGTAGAAGAGTTTAGAAACAAAAACCAAATAAGACCTACAGAAAACAGAGCTAGGTGGCATAAGGAAATATTTCTTTATCAGTAACTATTTTAAATGTAAATAAACTATTCAATCAAAGGCAGAGATTGACAGAATGGATTAAAAAAAACCCATAATCTAGTATCTTATATTCACTGTAGATAAAAAGTCATTAAGAGGTTAAAAGTAAAAGGACAAAAATAGATATTCCCTAAAAATAGTAAGTACAAGAGCTGGAGTGGCTATGTTATTATCAGACAAAATAGCTTTTAAGTCAAGAGTTAAGAGGCAAACAGGACACTATATATTAATGAAAGGCTAAATTCATCAAGAAGACATAACAATTATAAAAATATATGCACCTAAAAAGAGCCCTAAAACATACGAAGCAAATACTGGGAAAATTGAAGAGACAACTAGACAACTCTCCAATGGCAGCTGGAGACTTTAATATCGAACTTTTGATAACTGAGATAGCCCATGTAGACAGGAGATAAATAAGGAAACAGAGAACTTGAACAATAGTATCAATAACCAGACCTAAGAGACATATATAGAACATGCCACTTCTGAACAGTAGAATACCAATTCTTCTCAAGTGCACATGGAACACTCTCCAGGAAAGACCAGTGAGTAGGCCACAAAACAAGCCTCAATAAATTTAAAAATACTGAAATCATAAACAGTATCTTTTTCAATGACAATGAAATGAAGCCAGAAATCATAACAGAAGAACAATCAGAAGATTCACAAATATGAAGACATCCAGCAAGACACAAACAACAAATTGGGAAAGGGAGAAATCACAAGGGAAATTAGAAAACGCCTTGAGAAGAATGAAAATGAAAACGCAACCTACCAAACCTATAGAATGAAAAGTGTTCAAAGGGAAGTTTATAGCTGTAAATACCTGTATTGGGGGGGAAGAAGCCCCTACAAATCAACAAACTAAGGGCACACCTTAAGGAACTGGAAAAAAGGAGAGCAAAGTAGACCCAAAGCCAGCAAAAGGAAGAAAATAATTAAGACTAGAAATAACCAAAATAGATAAATTAAAAATTAGAGAAAGTTAACTAAACTTGATTCTTTGAAAAGGTCAACAAAACTGACAACATTTAGCTACAATGATTAAGAAAAAAAAGGGTAAAAACTCCAATTACTAAAATTATTTATGAAAGAGAGGGCATTACCTCCTTTACAGAAATAAAAAGGATTTTAAGGGAATACTATGAATAACTGTAAACCAATAAACTGGATAACCTAGATTAAACAGACATATTCTGACTCAAGGAAAAAAAAAATCTGAACCTACTTCAAGTAAGGAAATGAATGTGTACTCAACAACCTCCCCACAAACAGAAGTCCTAGGTCACGTAACTTCATCGATGAATTCTAAGACTTAAAAAATAAACACCAATCCTTTTCAAATTCCTCCAAAAAACTAAAAAGGAAGGAACATTTCCTAACTCAAAGAGAGGCCAGCATTATCCTCCTACCAAAAACAAAGACAACACTAACAATGAAAATATAGAAAGGGAAATTAGAGAATCGATTCCATTTACTATAGCACCAAGAAGTGTAAGATATCTGGGAATAAACCTAACCAAAGAGGTAAAGGATCTGTACTCGAGGAACTACAGAACACTCATGAAAGAAAATGAAGAAGACACAAAAGATGGAAGAGCATTCTATGCTCATGGATCAGAAGAATAAACATTGTTAAAATGTCTGTACTGCATAGAGCAATCTATACTTTCAAAATTCCACCAGTATTTTTCAAAGAGCTGGAACAAACAATCCTAAAATTTATATGGAACCAGAAGAGACCCTGAATTGCTAAGGGACCCTGAATTGTTGAAAAACAAAACTGGGGGCATCATGTTGCCTGATTTCAAGCTTGACTACAAAGCTGTGATCACCAAGACAGCATGGTACTGGCACAAAAACAGACACATTGACCAGTGGAACAGAATAGAGAGCCCAGGTATGGACCCTCAACTCTATGGTCAAATAATCTTCAACAAAGCAGGAAAAAATATATGGTGGAAAAAAGTCTCTTCAATAAATGGTGCTGGGAAAATTGGAGAGCTATGTATAGAAGAATGAAACTCGACCATTCCCTTACACCATACACAGAGATAAACTCGAAATGGAATAAAGACCTCAATGTAAGGCAGGAATCTATCAAAATCCTGGAGGATCTTCGGCCACAGCAAATTCTTTCAAGACATGTCCCCAAAGGCAAAGGAAACAAAAGTGAAAATGAACTTTTGGGACTTTATCAAGATCAAAAGCTTCTGCACAGCAAACAAAACAGTCAACAAAACAAAGAGGCAACACAAGGAATGGTAGAAGATATTTGCAAATAACACTACAGACAAGAGCTGATGTCCAAGATCTAAAAAGAACTCCTCAAAATCAACACCCAAAAAACATAATCATGTCAAAAAATGGGCAGACGACATGAACGACACTTCTCCAAAGAAGACATACAAAAGGCTAACAGACACATGAAAAAAAGTTTATCATCATTAGCCATCAGGGAAATTCAAATCAAAACCACATTGAGATACCACCTTACACCAGTTAGAATGGCCAAAATTAACAGGACAGGAAACAAGTGTTGGAGAGGATGTGGAGAAAGGGGAACACTCTTACAATGTTGGTGGGAATGTAAGTTGATACAACCACTTTGGAAAACAGTGTGGAGATTCCTCAAAAAATTAAAAATAGAGCTACCCTATGACCCTGCAATTGCATTTTTGGGTATTTGCCCCAAAGATACAGATGTAGTGAAAAGCAGGGCCATCTGTACCCCAATGTTCATAGCAGCAATGGCCACAGTTGCCAAACTGTGGAAAGAGCCAAGATGCCCTTCAAAAGATGAATGGAGGGGCACCTGGGTGGCTCACTGGGTTAAAGCCTGCCTGCTTCTCTGCCTGCTCATCATCTCTCTCTCTGT